TTTACTTTAGTTAGTAGTAAGGTAAGGTAACGTAACTACTACTACGTCGTACGTGGTTGGTTTGTTCGTGTGTAGTAGTTGTTACGTACGTTACGTTCGTCTCGTCTCTCTCTCTCTCTCTCTCTCTCTCTCTCTCTCTCTCTCTCTCTGAGGTGTTGATTTTTTCAAGTTTGTTTGATGTACTTGAATTCTGCTAGAATTATGCCCTTTACTGTTATAATTCCTGCTTATTGTTTTATGGTTTTTTTTACTGCATTAGATAAATTATTCAAATTATGTTTTCATGTGTAATATTGCAGTTCTAGTGGTTTTCTTGTCCATAATGATATTATGTCCTTTGTTGTTGATTATACATATTACTTGATGGGAAAGTATAAAATGAGCTCATTTAGGTCACATTAATCTTGACCATTGAATGTGAAATATCTTGACCATTGAATGTGAAATTGATTGGGTGGCTGCAATTATTCCATTGACCAAGCTCAAACTTCAAAAAAAAAAAATTTCGAACTTTATGACACATCCAAGCTATCATGTGACCACCTTGTATCAAAAGTAAATGGTCACATTGTATACAATCCCTTACTTGATTATTCAATGCTAATCATTGAAAAGATCTAGTGGTGTAACTGGTATTTTGGTTCTATCTTGCGTTAGATTGATTTTTCCAAGTTTGTTTTAAATATTTGAATTTTGTATTTGAAAGTATTGGGCATACATCAACATTTACATGGTCCAATTAATATACGGTTCCTTGAATTGAAATGTCCTAAAATATGTGATTTATTTTTCAATTAGATGCACGGCATGTATTTAATGCGGAAGCAATTGGGTGGGGCTTCCCATCATTTATCCCACTTAGTGATCTCAGCCAAAAAAAGGGGTATATGATAAAAGGCACAATTATTCTGGAAGTAGAGGTGTCCGTTCGTGATGTCATCAATTACTCGGCGAAAATCATCTCCAAGAGTGAGATGAAGCTCCAAGACAAAGATGCCAAGCTTGAGGAACTGAAGAAAGCGATGACGACTGTTGTGATGGCAAAGGCCATGGTTGATGAAGAGCTCAATGCTTGCAAACAAGAGCTGGCAATAAGGGACACGGTAAAAAAGCATTTGGTCTCATTTCCTCTTCTTTTTACAATTTCCACCTTCAAAACTTCATCATAAAATGACCCTTTGCCTGTAGGCTCTTCATTATCATGAACTGGAACTCCAAACCAGTAATTCCAAGAATGAGGAGCTGAAGAATGAGATAAAGAGTCTCCAAGACAAAAAATATAAGGTTGAAGAAGAGCTCAAACGATGCCAAAGAGAGCTAGAAATGGGGGACGTGGTAAAACCTTGCACTTGCTTCTTCTTCCTTCTTTGATCTTGAACTTCAAAAAAAGTCTTCTTCTTCAAAAAAGTCTTCTTCCTTCTTTGATCTTGACCTTCCAAAACTCCTCCTTTTTTTTCTCTTTTCCTAATTATCACTTGAATGTGACAGATCGCTAGACTCAAAGATCTTGAACATGAGTTAGCTATTGCCAAGAAAGCCGGAGAGATTAAAGAATTGTTCACCAGCTTGAAATATTCGGAAAAAAGAGTGCAAGACGTGAAGGAGGCCGCTGCTGATTGGCGATCCTTAACTTTCTCAACCTGTGGACTAGAGGGTGCACAAATGTGAAAATAATCGTACAAGAGTTCACATAAAAAATTGTAGCAATTGGCATCAGTGGAGAGAACAGAACAGTAAGACCCATTGATAACCTTTGTCATTTGCTGGTTTACTTTCATGAGTTATTAACCTGGATCACTCAGGGACTAGTTAGTAATGGTGACAACGTTTACTTTCATAAGTTATTACCTTGGAACACCCCTGAATAATATTTTTTGAAAACAATGTTTAAAAAATCAGATCGGTGGGTCGAACATGTCGTTAACCAGTTTCAAGTCGAATTAATTGGATCGGTTTCAAGTTGGATTAATTGGATCGGTGAGCCGGTTAAGCCCATTAAAAGAATGGAAATTTATCAAATTACCCTTGAGAGAAGCACTATTTTATATATATTTGCAACTGTGCCAATCAAAACATGTGCCTTTTGACAGGTATTTTGAAATTAAGTCAAAATGTAAAAATAGTGCATATTTCGATAAATTTCCTTAAAAAAATAGAAATACAAAGAATTTAAATAAAATTTAAAAGTTCAAATAAGGTTTAAGAACCTCAAATCATTCTAAAAGCAAACTTTAATTACATTAAAATTGTTTGAATATGATTTGGGGTGAATAGGTCCGAGTCCCAATTGAGTAAGGGGCTCGACCTCATCCCCGGGTCCCAAGTTGAACTGTGAAATACCCTAGGTCCCAATTCAGCAAGGGGCATGCCCTAGCTCCCGTGGCATTGGGGCCCTATGGCATTGGCGAGGTTCCATTGTTTCTACGGGGCGAAAGTTTTTTGCATACATGTATGTTTTCAGTGTTTTAAAAATCGTCGAGCTGACTTGAGAGTCACCTGTCACCTTGGTTTGGGACCGGCTGTGCTCACCTGTCACCTTGGCTTGGACCGGCTGTGATCGGTACCTTGCCAAACAATTGTACATGGATTCGTGAATACTTGTAGATGATGTGTTATAATATACACTATTTTTAGAGTTTGAAATCTTTTTTTTTTTTTCACAACTATAATGATCAAAGTTTAGATGATCGATTTTAATGTTTTCAAACGCCATAGTTGTAATTTTCAGGGAGTAGATTGTATACAATAGTATAGTTCATATAAAACAGTCTCAATTATCCTAAGCCGTTAGATGCAAAATCGGGTGTTGAGTATTTATTATTTACCCACAATAATATACAGAAACAGCCAAAAGGCAGTCGTGCTATAAAAAAACCCAATAAAAAATTATTTCATAATTTACTTGCTCCACATAGATGACCTTAGCCCAATCCCTCCTTGTCTAGAGGTCATAATCTTAAACGACTTACACCAAGGCTAAGGTCTCATCTTTGTGGCTCTTCAAGGTCAAAAATCCATGATTCTTTCAGTCTGATATGACGGATTAAGAGAGTCACAGTTAAAATATATTAATAAAAAATGAATGCCCTCATAAAGAAAGCTTTAGTATCTAATCAAAGTGAAAGCTTTTATCAGTGGTCGATGTACACGTTGCTTGCCTGGGCAAAACAAGGTCTTTCCGAGGAAGCCCATGATTTTTTTTATTTTTTATTTTTTATTCTTTTTTGTAATTACGTGGAGAACCCAAGCCCGACTCTTTTTTTCCAAATAATTTGGGTGTTATTTTGTTTTAAAAGAGTGTAGTTTCTATAAGGTTGCAACCTTAAACCATTCATTTAAGGTGCATCTCCAAATTTGATCATCATATATAATATTGGTGATTAAGGGTGTGGTTTCTATCAGGTTGCAACCTTAAACAATTCATTTAAGGCTCAGCTCCAAATTTGATTATCATATATAATTTTGGTGTAAAACATTTTAAGATTATCTTAAAATCTTATTTCATCTCTATTTATAAAATTTGAAACTTCAAAAATGAATAAAATCAAGTAGATATATAAACATATAAAAATCTTGAAAATGAACGGTCTAGATAATGTGTTATAGGATGCATTATTTCTGAGACGTAAAATTTTTTTTTTTTCGTATTTCTACTTCTCGATATCGAGATGATCAATTAGAGGGTTTTTCAACATTAAAACAACCTTTTTCGATGGATTTTTTTATGTGCATATGTAATTCTACATTTTAAGGTTGCAACTTTATATTTTCACCATAAAAGTTTGTTGAGGTGCAGACTGATGAATCCATGGTATCACGAGAACGTGAGAAGAAGTTAGTATGACTAATAAAACGGAGGGTACGAATAATAAAACGGAGGAGAGGAGAGAGAAGAAAGAATGAATTAGGGCATGGGATTTTTTAGAGCTAGTAATGGCATCGCCATTGTTGAAACTTGGAAGGATTCAAGAAGAAAGATGCATGTGGGCGTTTAGGACTTAGAGAGAGAAAGAGAGAGGATATGTCTGATGGAGACAAATTACGATTTTGGTGAAGGCAATAAGTAGAAGAAGAAGTTTGAGAAGACAAATTACGATTTTGGTGAAGACAAATTACGATACTCCTTTTGCTCCATCGTTACCAATTGGTGTTTTTCCGATAAAAAGTTTGGGATCCAGAGAGGGCATTCTTCAACAAGGATGCAACATTACTCACAAATTTCAGAGTGAAACCAATGCGCATTGCGATCAATGGGTAGCATGCGAGCAATGGTAATGGTATGGAAAGATGGGTATTGGATGTAAATTTAGAGAGAGGGAGAGGAACAGTAATTGAAGCTATCCCCTTTGGGGGTTATAGGGTTAGAAAATACGCCTTAAAATTGTAGATAATATCTACTTTTGCAGCACCGATTCTCGATGGTTTTTGGTGGAGGTGAGGATGGAGAGGCTGAGGAAGGGGATGGAGCTACTGTGATCACTATCAGGTATGATATGTCAGGAGCGCTTCTTTCAGGTGTGAACTTTTTGGTGGAGGTGAGGATGGAGAGGCTGAGGAAGGGGATGGAGTTGTTGTGATCACCATCAGGTATGATATGTCGGGATGGAGTTGATCACTATCAGGTTTGATATGTTAGGAGCGCTTCTTTCATGTGTGAACTTTCCAGTGGTGGGCTCCTTCTCCCCCATCAACGGACATCTTTGGCATGTCTGATTGGGCTAGAAGGAGTTGGAACGTTTCTTATGCTCTTAAGGTGAAAATTATGGGGGAGAATAAGATCATCTTGTTTCTTCGGTCTAAAGAGGATTCTTTGATGGCTATAAAGAATCGTTTTGTTCATATTAGGGACAAGTTGTTGTCCCTTGATATGTGGAAACGTGACTCCCATCTTTCTTATTTTGTTATCAAATATTCCTTTTCATGCTTGGTCCTTGTCTACTTTTCGTAAATTGGCCACCAAATTTGGAGAGTTCCATCATGTCGATGGGGAGTTCTGTCGTGCCGATAAGATGGCTTTTGATGTGGTTGACCTGTGATTTGATAGGATCCGTAGATGGAAATTGAGTGAGCCCTCGTTCCAAAAAATCTGACTCTTTAGATGAGTCAAGATTTTTTCTCCATTTGCAGTAGTGCAAGAAACAAAGGATTTAAAAAGTAACTTTCCGGGTCTGCAGAAAGTTACTAATGAGGTGGTAGAAAAAAATGGATGGAAGGAGGTGGTTCGTCGTCATAGACCTCCACCGATTAAGTCAAATTCTGGCCATCTGCAGCGGGATGGTCATCGAAATTTCAGAACGGGGAAGAGGGATTTTCAAATTTTGAAAATCCATAAGCGGTGGATCGCAATTGGCCGTTTTGCCAAATACCCAGTGATCTCTTCATCGAGCGTTACTCACCGTGTCGATGGACCATGCGAACGCAAGGACAGTGAGGGACCATCAAGGATAGAAGGTTGTCAAAACAACAAAATGGAAGGATTTGCTCGGCGGCAAGGAAGTGAGGTGCAATTCTCAGGATTCATGCTGACGGCAAATGGTGGCGATGTGGTGCCGCACGATTTCCCGCAGGGTACGAAAGGCAGTGCCATCTTCCCAATGCATGTTTTGAAGGCGATGGATAGCACTAACTTTGCCTTTTTGCATGTTGGGCTGAAGGAGGTGGATAGAATTTCGATTACAGCCATTGCGATTCTGCTAACAGGTCTTCGCCTTCGGTCAACGGTTGCGCTCCAAGTGGTGCTCTTTGTTCTTGTTGTCATGTATCCTCTGTTGCACCATCGAGCAGCTAGGAAGGATCGTGCGATTCAAAGGCTGATTTTTTATCCATTGACTATGAACTCAATGACACTGGTGGTAGTAGATGACTGGGTCGAGCCCATTGAAATGGTGGGAGAGGAGGTGATGGGAGTCTCCTCGATGGCTTTAATAAAGGATGGACTATCGGTGCAGGTGGAGCAACAAGCGACAATGGCGATGTTGGAAGATGAAGTGGCTAACCCCTTGTCTGTAGTTCATGAAGATCGGCCATTGCTCTTGCACCTATCTGAGGTGTCGACTGGTGAAGCAACTGTGGTTGCTCCTAAATTGATGTTCCAAAGTGCTTACGATGTGGCTACAGGCTGTTCATTGGCAAGTGAGAATCGATCTCAGAGTGATCAGGTGGAGGAATGTGGGCTCCCTAGTGCTCGGTAGCGGGATGGATTTTAACTTGCGAATAGGGGTGGTTTTTAAGGAAATTGTTGACAAACTCAGGGTTGAGAATCGGGAGTCGTTGATGCTAGGAATAAGAAAATTGAATTTGAGATGCATGGTGGCGTCAATGAAGAGAGGACCCCTGCTAAGGATGTGGCAAAAAAGAAAAAGAAAGGCAAGAGCCCTATGAAGGGTACCCAATAATCTGCTCGACTGATGGCACGTGGACATCGTCCTGGTGGTACGGCTGGTTTTGTTATTCGAGATGAACAGGTGATTGAAGTCCCTTCTTCTCCGTCTTCTTTAGAGGATGCTTTTGATGAGACCATGGAGAAGGCTTTGATGATGGAAGAGGTATTTTTTGGGTCCAAGGAGGATGGTTCAGGTTCTTCCCTTCCGTAGTTTCCTTAATGCTTTTGCTTTCTTGGAATGTAAGAGGTCCGGGTGACCTCAGATGGAAAAATGATGTTAAGTTTTTGGTTAACAAGTATAAACCTACTGCTCTTATTTTGCTAGAAACCA